AAGCTTATAATGACATTTTTGAAAAAATAAAAAATGCCAATATATTTTCTAAATTTTTAAAATGCAGTAAATGATTAAAAATAAATGAATTAAACTCAATATACACTACAGGAAAAAGCATATTCAGCTACTAAATTTCCTGACCAAAAAAATTTGGTCGCTAAGTATAGCTTTCAGTGACCAAAACGGCAGTAGTTGTCAAAAGTAAAGCTTTTTGGCGACTAAAAAAATTTAGTAGCCAAAAGTCTACAATTGGCGACTAAAAATAAGTTTGGTTGCTGATTATATGGGTTTTACTGACTAAAAAAATTTTAGCAGCCAAAAGTAAAGTTTTTTGGTGCAAAAAAAAAATTTAGTAGCCAAAAGTCTACAATTGGCGACTAAAAAATAAGTTTAGTCGCCATAAGTGGTCATTTTTAGCGCGGGAGAACTAAAATTCTAAGGCGGGAATAAAATTTTTTGGTGACTAAAATTTTGTTAGCTGAAAGTGCATCTTCGGCGACCAAATCCGATTTTGGTCGACAAAAGTTAAGTTTTTTAGCAACTAAAAAACAATTAGTAGTCAAAAGTATAGAATTGGCGACTAAAAAATATTTTTAGTCACCAAAAGTGGTCTTTTTTTTATTTTGGTAGTAAATAGTTTATTTTACATAAATTATGTTCAATAAAATAACTATGTTTATACATATACTTTTATATTAATATGGATGTATGTACTATATAAATAATATATGTTGCATATATAATCATGTGATGCTATAGAGGTGTAGTGGGAAGAGTGTGGTGTATAAGGTTTATGGTGCGGAAGGTTGGCGGTTCGAGTCTCTGCAAGAGCGGATCAAATTGTTCTACAACGAATTATCGTCATGAATGACACTTGATAGTGTCACGAATAGTGTCTACCATGACATTAAAGTGTCACTGAAAGGTTTTAGTCTTAATGGTGTAATGACACTTACAAATGTCACTAACTCTTTTTTTAATGGCGCTTGATAGTGCCACAAATAATATCTACCATGACATTAAAATGTCATTGAAAGTTTTCAGCCATGATGGTGCAATGGCACTTGCAAGTATCTACCGTGACACTCGTATCTACCGTGACATCGATAGAAGTGGCACTTGTTTAAAATGTCACAAGACCAAAAAATGTCATTAGAAAAATAATTTTGTGACACTTTCAAATGTCACTGAACTAAAAAAATGTTGTAGTGCTGTAACTCTCGACGCACCTCTAGTCTTCAGAACCCCTTTTCGGTGATCCTTATCAAACACAAAAGCAGCTGCTACTGGTGAATCTGCATCGTTGGCACTAGTCCGGATCAGCTCCAACGGAAGATCAAAGAAGTGATTCAGAGAATCTCCTTCCTCTTCGTTGTCCATTACTATGGCCGATGAAGTCCAAGAACCACATTCAAATTTCTCCAACGAGACCGTCCTAGAGATCACCTGGGCCATCTCCTTTTTCACTGAGTGGCGGGAGTCTCCTGTACTGGGACTGTCAATCCCAGTTATTTCTTTTTCGACATCTTTTCTTGGTCTCCCCGGCTTTCCCCTACCAAACCCGGGCAAGAACAAGCATAGAGCCCCACATTTGAATTCCTCATCGTAAGGTTTGGCCATGGTTTTACCGCTTTTATGCTCATCATCAGTTTTGGCTTCATGCTCATCACCGTTGACTTTACTCGACCACAAATCGAAATCATCAGAGGGTGCAGTTGCTCGCCCTTCCCCGCACGATTTACTCTTCCGTAGGTGCTTCTCTTGTAGGTGAGCAAGACGAGTGAGTGCCACCGAGTGCTGACGAGACAGAGGATCAAAGGCTAAAGGAGAGGATGGTTGAACTGGATTCTTCCATTTCTTCTTTAGCAAGCTAAGTCGAGGTGATGAGGTGGTTGAACCCAGAAGGCTAACAGAGAACTTGGCTTTTGCAGGTAGCAGAGGCGGTGGAACCAGCATACGAGTGACTTTCGGGGTTGTAATAACAGGTGGTGGTGGCAACTCCAAACGAGGATATGCCGATTCTATTAGTGATATTGGATCCACTGAAATTTGCCTCTCCTGTTGTAGGCTCCCCATTTTGACCAACATATTAGTGGACAAGAAATCAGAATCGGGAAATTCATAGTCGGTTTCATGATCCGATTGCAGAGCATCTGAAGGAGGAAGCATATCTGAAGGTGGAAGAACCATTATGTGCTTCAAAAGTGTGGTGATCAGATCATGGACTGAACCATATATATATAAGTATAAGATATAGAACGTGGATGACATGTCTACAACATCATAGATGTAGTGATTTGCATGTTCTGTTTTTTCACCTTATTAAAAACCAGAGGATGTATCAATATATAATGGGGTTATTATAGGGACTAGAAAAAAAAAAAAAGAAAGAGCTAAAATAGTTTGATCCATGAAAGAAGCCATTCTCTATGTCAATGAGTTGACTTCCATATCTCAACATTTTTTTTAACACCAAAAACAACACAAAAAAAATAAAAATAAAATAAAGGTAGCGTTTGATTTAGTTTTAGAATTATAATTTAATAATGAAATTGTATTTTAAATTTGTGAGTTATTGAATCATAATTTGAAAAGAAAAAATTTATTTGGTTATGAGTTTTAAAAAGAGCTGTGAATTGAATTTTGAAATGAGTTTTGAAATAAGAAAAGTTGTTTGGTTATGAGTTTTGAAGAAAAATTTCAAAACTTAATTCAAAAACTTATAATTTATAACTAAACACACATTTCAAAACTTTATTGAAAATTCTATTCAAAATTCATAACCAAACTCTTTTTAAAATTCAATTTAAAAAATAATTATTGAAAAAAAATAAATTTTTTATTTAAAAAATTCAAAAAAATCTGAAAATAATTTTTTTAAAATATAAAAAAATATTCATCTAGTGCTTTAAAATTACTTTTGATTGAAATTTTTTTTAATTGTTTTGTTTAAAAATATTTTTTTATTTTTTTTAAAATTATTGTGACAAATTAGTTTTTATTTAAATTTTTTTTTATTAATTTTAAATATATGGCCAAATAATTTGTCATTTTGATTAAAAAAAACAAATTTCTATATTTAAAAAATATCAAAAACAAACATAAATTATTATTTTTTTCAAATAACAAGTGACAATTGTTTTTTAAAAAAAAAAGTACTATTCCGATCAACCAACTAGACGTCCGAAATGATGTCCCGGGAGAACAACCGGGTATACCCAGAAATTCAAAAATTGTCTAAGAGGATGTCTGAGCAGACAACCAGGTAGATCCAATTTCAAAATTCAAAAACTCTACTTTGCCAAACATGTTCTGAAAAGAATTTTTAAATGTGAATGTGAAATTAATTTTTGAAAACTATATCCAAACACAACACTGAAATAAAAGGGTGGAATTGATTCCCCCCATAAAGCAGACTGAGTTAAAAAAAAGTAAAAAAAATAAAAAGGAAAGGAAAAAACCAGAGCAAAACTCAAGAAAGGTTACAAAATACTACCCACACACCGCCCTCCAACCGTTAAAAATAAAAAATAATCGAATTCCCTTAAAAAAGAATAGAAACGAGAGCCCCAAAAAATGATAAACACTCTATCCCACAGAAAATTATTCTCCTCAAATCATTATGAGTAATGAAGAACTTGTTATTCCTTATTCTTGGGCTCAAGAATTCCCATTTAACTCCAACATACAATAAAAACTGTTTTCTATTATTACATTCACTAATTAACGATCCTAGTATTGAGCTCCAACCAAATAACCTTCAAATAACCTTTACGCTGTGTTTGGTTGAGGGATTTGGAGAGAGATTTAGAAAGAGAAAAGGAAAATGTGTGTGAAACTAAGTGAAATATAGGCATATTTTATTCACATTTCACCTACCTTTTTCATTTCCCTTACAAATCCCTCCTCAAATCCCTCAACTAAACACAACATTAGGAGTGTGTTATTTGGAATTCATATGCATATGAAATAACCTATAGAATTCATTTCTCAACTATAGAATTGGACCAAATGAAAGAGTACTACAAATTATCCAAAAATAAAATGGGTAAACCAAATTATTTTTATGTATGATTCACACTACACAAAGTTTTACCTTTTTTTTTTTAAAAAAAAAAAAAAAAAAAAAAAAAAAAAAAAAAAAAAAAAAAAAAAAAAAAAAAAAAAACAACTTACTTACCTCCTTCTCCTCATTACAAATGGACCAATGTGTAATTGCCAGCTCAATAGGTAGTTAACAAGTATATAACTCAAGTTCACTACCAACTACCTACCTAACTACTTTATAACAGTCTAACAATATTAAACTATCTCCAGCAGTCCTCACTAACACACACCAATCATCTTCTGTCTATTCAGTTCTCCTCATGCTTTGCTTGGCTGTTCAAATCTTCCTAGTTTCTGCTCATAACATTCCTTCCATCTTCAAAAAAGCCATGTCCTCGAAGCAGACAATGACGAAACTGCTACAGAAAAAGGTCCCAATTAACCTTCCCAAGTCACATCCTCGGAAATCAAATTGGACCATGGAACTAGGATTCAAGTAATGGTATAATTTTGCCTTTGAGTTCAACTGTGAGTTCTTCAAACCTATCCTGATATTCCTATATCGTAGTCTATTGCCTTGGAGGTGAGCTCCCCAATTGAATCTTCATCGGCAGTTGGCCCAAATCTGGTGGTATTGGCATACACAAAAATCTTTTGCTGACAGCCTAACCTTTTAACTTTCATCCACTTGATTAAACTCGAAGAATCTTTGACGCCTACATAACGAACCTTGCGGATCATTCATCACCATGAAATCTAGGAAAATTCACTTAGGTATACCTTGTCAACACAGAATTGAAAGAACTGGACATCATTCCTGTAAAGGTTAGAAGCCCTTTGATTAAACAATATCAGACAACCTTCTTCATCTACAACTCCTTTATATACTCTGTTTTACCCTGTTTTCTCTGTAACTTCTTCACATACTCCTTATTACAAGTGTACCAATGCGAAACTGCCAGCTCAATGGGTGGTAAGTACACAACTTAATTTAACTACCAACTACTACTACATCACAGTCCTAACAATATTAACTAGCTCCAGCAGTCCTCGCTAACACACCAGACATCTTCTTTGGCTGTTCAGTCCTCTTGGCTCATAAGATGGTGCCTCTTTTGCCTCACCAAATTCCATTTACACCAAAAAGAGCTGCCAGCCAAATAGTTCTTGTTTGGAACTTCTGACTGTCTATTTTTGTTGTTTTAAACTATCAATGTTAACATCTAACTCTGCCAATCCCAATAGAAAAAAAATAAAAAATAAAAAAAAATACTAGCACAAACAAACATCAAACAAAGGCGGTGTGTGTGTCAACACACTTAATTAAGTTATATACATGCAACTTGTATAAGTAGGTAAGACTAAACTAGTAGACAATGGTAATCTGTTTATACATGCAGTCTGTTTATACATGCAAGAAATATGAAGCAAATTAGTAGACAATGGTAATCTTGGGAATAAAAATTTGAAAAAATATTGGGGAAAAAGGATGTGATGCCATTTGTATGTATTCGGTCTAAACATAATTGAGAATTGTAAATAAGGCTTAAGCAAGCTGGTCAATGGAAATATCTTAGTGCAGCATATGGACACATTCATCAGAAAAAATCATCATTTTTTCTCATTTCAATATACAAACACAAGTGGAGTCAAGGTCAGTACGACTTTGATATTTAATTCTTTGCATGGACAAGGCCCAAAGAATATACATCAGAATGATATGGATAATTTTTTATTGAAGTGAATTGTAGAAGAGAATTAGCACTACAGAGATACCAATTATGACTGGGAATGCGGTGACAAGGTAGAGTGCTCCATATCCCTGCAAGATATTTAATTCCTTTCAGTCAGGAAAAAAATTTCCATAGAAGACAAGTAGCAAATAAATTCTAATGTTTTACTAGAGTAGAAACAAACCACGGCTGCAGGCACTTCTGAATCGTCAGTGTCATCAGAATCCTCAATATCAGCAGCGGAATCCCAATCGATATTGAGTCTCTTAGCAGCTACTTCAGGATCAATACCAGTGTCCGTGGCTTTTGCATATAGGGATTTGCGACGTTTCGCCTTTGGTACTTCAACCTATTCAACAAAGACAGCATGGAGGAATAAATTTCCATGAGGAATCCATATCATGATGATGTGTCAGATCCATGCAATTATGCAAAATGGTGAATTATATCATCAGGGATAAATCGCATAGAAAGGGAAATCAATACATTATAGGCACGCCAGTTTTTTCCATGGCACACAAAAGATGATTAATAAGATGAGATCATATGGAATTGATCAAGGGCTTACTTTTCAATTAAGTACCCCCCAAAAAAAACATATGTATGGACGGATATATTGATGTCAATCTAACTTTGAAATCAAAGATGCAATTTTGAGAGGTTTTAAGAGAAAAGTAGAATTTCCGATGGGCTCATTGCTCAGACAACCAACTGTTGGTTGTTCCACTGATAACGATAGAGTTAAATTGATGCCAAACCTAGGAAGTTGAATCCCCAGCAACAATGTAAAGTCAAAACTCAAAAGGGATAAATTCCTTTTAAGGAATAAGTTTATATATTCTTCCTTCCTCTATATTTGTTTCATATTATATACATTATATATATATATAAATATAATAAGGTGACTCACAAAAATACTAGAAAACAGGTTGAGATTGCAAAGCATGTGATAACAAAAACTACCTTTAATTAATAAATATCATAAGCTTAAAGTAACAACCATACCTCCAAATTAGGCCATTGGACCATTTCATCAGCCAGCATCTTAAGAGCAACACGATTTTTGGGGATTTTTCCTTCATTGACCTACACAAATATAGAATCACAGATACGTTAGGCTATTGTTTGTTTGTAACAGAAACTATCAAGGACCTGTTGTTAGAATTCCCCATCTGACTTTAATAATAGAACAATCATATTTGTCCACATCCAGGTGGAACCACCCCAATTTGATATTGCCCCTCTATTGTAGATGGAGTTCACTAGTTCCAATTTCCAAATGAGAAGAGCAAGTCAAATTTCCAATATTGGTCATGCAATTCAAACATGACTAAATAAAATTGAATCTCAAAGAGAAATACAAGCAAATGTAAATAAAATTTCTTTGCAGTTTCTGCACCAAGTCGATGGTTAGACTGAAACAGTTGAATGACTGATCTGTTAGGAAAATGTTGTGATCTTATTTCTTGAAGACATTCAGGACTTCCAAAGCAGTAAGCATGAGTAGGAACGGGTCATAATAACCAAGTTGTTTAAGAGAGAGCAGGAAATAAAAACAGAAAGCGTTTACAATAAAGTTTTTTAATTCAGAAAGGTATGGTGTAGCACTAAAATTTTATTCATAAAAAAATGGACTTACTTCTTGTAAGACATCAGCTAAATCCTCCCTTGTTGGAGTTTCAGAATCATCAATACCAATAAGTCTTCTTCGCTCGACTTCTCTTGGGTCCTCAATCATTACGGTCAACTTAACCTACAAATTGAGAATACAAAATAATAATTGCAAAAACTAAGGAATACTCAATAGTGAGATTTAAATTGGCATGCCCATCCATTCTAAAGAACAATATTTTAGAAAAAGAAAAGGCAAGTGAAAATAACAGCAACACACACATCAAACAGTCTTAACTTGGCAAAGCGTATTCTATTTTCAGATGAAGCGGTTTGCAGTGCAACGACATTTGAGTTGTATTGTGAACTCTTAATCATAGACATGGTATTAAAATTTTGTAATGCACAATTCACAATTGAAAAGATAAAACCAGACCAAATCAAACTACGCCTCATGTCCCAATCAAGTGGGTCGAGTCTTTTTTCTTTGTTTTTTTTGGGTCAGCAGTCAAGGGTGTCCAGGCCAGCTTATGCGCAACTCTACTAATTCACTCCCCAGTCCAATCAAAGGCAGGCCATCCACCCTAGTAATAGGGAATTCATGAGAACTACTTTCTCGCGGTCTGGCTCCAAGAATTGAACCCTGAGCAATTGCGTGGAGAGCACAACCACCAACCACTCAGGACAACTCTCACTTTGGGTCGAGGCTTTTTTCGTCTTCTACTCTATCAAACCTACATGTTCAGCTAAATTAAATAAATTCACATATTTTTCTACTACCGCATACTATACTAGTTTAGGTCTTCCCCTCCCCTTAATATTTTCAGTTGCGGTCATCATAATCACTTCTTTTTCCATTGCATAAAAATGACCAAACCATCCTAATCATTTATCTCAACTTTTCTTCAATTTAAAGAAGAACCCAAGAATAAGTACAAGATAGAAAACCTAAAAAGAAGAGTCGAATGGTATAATCTCAAGCACACTTAACAAAATTTTGGTTCACAGAATGAACCAAATTAGAACAACAACAACAACAAAAGGTTACCTCGCTAAAGATCATATCTCTGTTTTTCTTCAGAAGCTCCAAAACCTAGAATACAGATATCAAAATAATGAAATATTAAAACCCATAAACCAATAATTCTCTACAGAGAGAGAGAGAGAGAGAGAGAGACCCTTTTGATTTGGGATATGTATTCGAGGTCTTCAGGACTTGGGTCCTTCTCTTCCGCCACCTCCTCGACCTGATCATCTTCGGCGGAGGGAACACGCAATTGGGTTTCTTCCTTACCAACAAACACAACTCCGGCGCTCCTCCGCCGCCTCCCGGAGCTCATCTTCTGGCAGTAATGGCGAACAGAGCATTTTCTCGGCGACTGCAATTGAAGATAGCTGTGAAGAGAAAGAGTTTGGAGAGAGGTGTTGGAGGAAGAAGTGGAGGGAAGTGGCGGTTGAAACAGTTGCAGAGTCGTAGTCGCCATCATCATCTTCACCACCACCAAAACCTTATCTTCTTATCTCTCCTCTGTTATAGATATATATATATATATATGTATGTATGTATGTATTATTGGGAATCAGATTAAGAATTCAGAGAGAGCGAGAGAGAGAGAGAGAGAGAGAGAGAGAGAGATTCTGCATTTCCATCATTGAATTTGAATCTGCGAGAAGTATAATTTACAGTGAAAAAATGCAATCGGAGATGGAGATTGGGAATGGATCGTGGCCCACAGAAGTCCTTTTGGGCTTTTATTTTTTGGACTGGAAGCTCTTGTGGACAGCACATTCTGATCCATTGGGTTTAAATAAATTTAAAATACAATTTGAGGGAATCGTGGAAGCAAGGCCCGTAAAGAGTTCAGTGGGCTGAACTTATAATATCTATATATATAGGGGCATTGTGTCTCACAAAAACTGTCATTTTTTTTTACAAAAAAAATAAAAATAAAACATTATCTGTGTGTTTGGTAACGTTTACGTTTTCAATTTATATTTACAAAAATTTTATAAATTGGTTTTTGTTTATTTTTAGAAAAACATAAACAACAAACGCGTTTGGTAATTGACAAAATGTTTAAAAAACTTTAAAAATATAAAAAAAAGTAAAAAATGGCAAGTGATGGCAAGTGGCGGTGGAAGACGGTGATGGAAAGTGGTGACGATGGGTGGTGGGTAGCTGGTGGTGGGTGATAGCGAGTGAGTGGTGGTGGTGGTGGCGGTGGTGGTGGCGGGTAGTGGTGGCAGGTGGGTGGCGGATGGCTGTGGTAGTAACAGAAGACGGTGGTAGAAAATGGTGGCGAGTGGTAGCTACTGTTAGTGGTAAAAAAAAATAAAAATTGAAAACTCAAAATGGAAACACCTTTTTTGAGTTTATATTTTTTGGCCAAATTTATAAACTGAGACTACTGATTTATAAATCAAAAAATTACCAAACAAGTTTTTATTTGAGTTTTTAAAATTTTTATAAATATAAATAGAAAACTGAAAACATAAGTATTACCAAACAGTCGCGTTTGTTTTTTACCCCACCATTTTAAAGCATATAGATAGGAGTTTGCATTATCACAAATTAATAATGGCATGAAACGAAAGCATTCTATGTTGGGAAATCATTCTTGGATTTTGTGTTCATTTATCACAAATTAAGCTATGATTTTATTTATTTATTTTACTTTACTTTTGTAGTTATATGATTAATTTAATGAAAATTTTGTTGGAATTCCCTTTATTATAGGTTTTTACTAGCATAACATAAATAAAAGAAATTATTAACTCAAGTCTTCCAATCAAGGTTTTAAAAAGCGGTCGTAATCATTACATAACACTGTTACATAACGGTTGTGGTGGTTACCGCCACCCGTTATAGCCATTATAACAATGTGACGGAAATTCACATATGTAACGGTTGTTTCAATGTTACGTAACGGCCGTAACAGTCCGTTACACACCGTTACACTATTTTATAATATTCTGAATAACTTCCTTTTCAAAAAAAATAAATAATAATAATAATAAAAGCTTACAAAAAAAAGAACAAATACTCAAGTGATCAAAGCCTAAAGAAAAAAATCTTATATGAATTTATTTTCTTTATATATATATATATTTTTTTTTTTTCTAAATTGACACTACACAGCAACAAGAAAACCTTGCCGAGGCATTCATAACTGAACACGAAATGTTCTTTACAAGGCAATGCAAAGTGCAACTTAAATCTTTTAATGAGGTAGTTTGTGAGGCCACCACCAAAAATTATTGACTACATGAACTTTGTTGGCTGTTAGTTGGTATTTCTTCTTTGGAGACTCATAAAGAAATTTGAATTGAGTAATTAAAACTAGAATGTATTAAGTGAATGTCAATTAAATTTGTTTGATAACTATAATTTGAATTACTTCAAAATTTACATGACTTTTGAAATGTAAGTTTAAAATAATAACATTATTTAATGCAGACTAAACCTATAATTGTTCATGTAGTAGTTTCAACATGCACCTCTTCTTGTAACAATACATCAATCAATAATATACATCAATTTATTTTTACACAGACTAAACCTATAATTGTTCATGTAGTAGTTTCAACATGCACCTCTACTCCTATCATTTTCATCCCTAGCACCACCACCACGGCTATTGCCAACACCACTACTCCACCACCATCATTACCACTCCTACCACTATCATTTCACTATACCACCACTATCACTACTTCTTCACCACCACCACTACAACCCTCCACCTTCACTACCTTTATCACGGTTGCCATAACCACCGCCTTCATTCCACTACTATCATCACTATATTGCTGCCGTCGCCACCACCACCCTTCTACATCCACTACACCACTCATCCAATATCACCATTGGCACCATGGTTACTATCGTCATCATCACAACTACCTCCACCATCTCAATATAAAATTTGAAAGAGAAAATTTAAAAATAAAAAATTTTTGAATTTCACTTTATACCTATCAAACACTTGTTTTTATTCAATATTAAATTTTTATTAAACAAATTTTTAACTTAAAAAATTTAACATTCAATTTTTAATTTTATCAGCCTAACCTAGATAAAGAATATTCACACACTTAGGACATAACCTACAATTTTTTATTTTTTTTTATTTTATAAAATCTTCTATATTCATAGTACATCCGCTGGTATAATTTTAGGTGACAGCTAGCATAGACCTTGGAAACCTCCAACACTTGGACCCCTTTAGGAGACAATAAATCATTTTTGTTTGCATCTACATATGATTGGTTAGAATCATCACAACACACACACATATATATATATATATATTGCTTAGGAAGACTTAAAAGTCTAAGCAAACTTATATAGTATTTGCTTGTACTAGATCACATAAATTATATTATTATTATTATTATGTGACTTTAACTTGGTTGGTCTAAGAGACTCTTGTACTTGTACTCAACACTTCGTAGTTTCGAAGAAGCACACACTCAACACCTTCGAAGGTTCATTATTACGGTGATAACCAGCTCTGCTTCCAATGTCCTCTTCTTCCTCCATTGGTTGTTTTGAAGCTTCTACTTTCATCAGCTCATTGGTTCATCTTTTCATGTTTTCTTCAAGTTGCTTCCTAACAATATTTGTTTAGTCACTAGTTGGGGGTATATTCACCATATTGTGTGACCTTTGTCTCTTCTAATCTATTTGAAAAACAATATGATGATAGCTAAACGGCCATTTGATCTTATAGACGTATCTCAATTCGCGAGATTATTTAAATTTATTTATGTGATTGGTTAATATTGATTTAGACTTGTGATAAAACTCGTTTGAGATCAGTTCATTATGTAACAAGACAAGTTCAATAACACTTTAAAATTTATTAAATTTTTTAAATTAAACTTAAACAATACTTCATTTGTTTATTGAGAAACTATTGTAAAAAGGTATTTTTATGAAAGCCAATCGTTGATGGCTAAGATTCTTTCTTCACTCTAAAGGAAGCTCATTTTTACTTTCATATGTATTATAAAATAATCAAGTTACACTACAAGAAATCAGGGATTTAACGGCGTTTTACTAAACGTCACCTTCTTTAATAATTAGCGACATTTTTTAAATGTTGCATTTTTTAGTAATTAAAACGGTCCCGTTTTATGAATAGAAGACGTTTGAAAACGCCTCCAAATCCTTATTTTCAAGCCCGCTATGTGTCTCTCTTCAAATCCTATTTTGTCTCTCCAAACCTTTATTTTGAAAATCCTATTTTGAAACCCTTAATCTAAGAGGATCGAATATCTCTCTCTCTCATGAGATCGAATCAATACGAAGTTCTCTCTCTTGATTCTTCTTTAGCTCGGTGATTCATTTTAGAGTAATTGCAATTTCGAAGTTCTCTCTCTCTCCCTCGATTGTGAGCACCACCATCTACAATCTCAAAAAAACCGATTGAATCCTTCAAAACCTTCTTCAGCTCTGTGATTTATCGTAGTGGTGGTGTTTATCTCTGTGGATTTGGAACTTTTCATCTTCTTCAATCAGAGGTTAGTTGTTTCTTTCTTAGATGTTTTTTCTGTGCTCTGTTTGTGAATAGCTGTTTGTGAATCTCTTTTTGCTCATCTTCTTCCCACTGGTTTGTGAAGATTTATTGGGTATATAATTAATGTTTCTTCTGTGCTTTGTTTGTGAATAGTTGTTTGTTATTTTGCTTAAATTGTCTTGTTTTGCTTAAATTGGTTTAAGCTTCCTCATAATGGATTTAGGATCAGGGTTTTGAAAAATGCATAATCAGTGTTTCAACATAACAGTTATTTCCCTTATTGTTATCGTCCCTTATTGATCAATCGGTGTTTTACACATCTTATTTATTTTTACCTTATTGATCAATCAGTGTTTTGGACTCTTCATCATCAACTATGAAATCATAGTTTGTTTCGTAAAAATTTGTGGGCTAAAGGTCCTATTGTACATTATATATTTGTTACCAATAAAAAACAGAGATCATAAATTACAGTGCTCTCCAGCTGGTTACTAAGCGGGCAGTGTGGTCGGAAAATTACCCACACACATTATATATTTGTTACCAATAAAAAACAGAGATCATAAATTAGTATATATGGATTAATTGTAGCAGTGTATTCTTGTCTAAATATTTGTAGTTTTTTTATTTGCTTGTGAAACCATTTTATACACTTTTTGGTCCAACTTGAAATATTGTAATTGTATATATATGTATATATGCAAATGTTATGAATGAGTTATAGAAAAGAAGAAAAATTTGGAATCGTGCTTTTTCCAGAAATGGTGAATTTGTGATCTGTGCTTGTTTGAAATTAGTGGTTTTTCTTATATATTTTACTTTGAATTTTAGTACATTTTGCGACTCCTCTTATTCTCAACAACATACTGGTTTGTGTGTTATACATACATACATGTGTGTGTATGTGTTTGTAGACGATCAACTCGGTCAGGTTTGGTCGGGTTGAGAGGTTGTCCAAATCCAACCCAAATTATGCTGAGACCTGCTCATGCCCGAATTGTAACCCGATGTTGCCTGCCCAAGCCCGACTCGAGTTAAACCCGAATTGCCCGAGTTGTCCGAATTGTAAATAAATTTCATTTTTTTTTGTAGCTACATTATTAAATTATTAAAATTTGACTCTTT